TTTTGTATTTGATCCTTTGTTTAACTGGCAGCCAGTGTATTAGTTATCCAATTTTTATAAAATCAGTATTGTTACTACTGTCCTGGCTGCTGCTGTAGTCAAGCAATTTTGTACATTGACAGTTTTTTTGTAGCTGATAATAGATACTTTTACGGGCTAATTTTGGAGGACATAGACATATCAAGTTCCAATTGAACCGGTAGATATTTAAGACCTTTTTTTAACGAATGGTGTGATTATTAATGTCAATTTGCTGTTCTGGGAAATTTCTAATTGCCATAGTAAGCCTATTTGCTCTCAACATTATTTCCATCTTATAATCATTCTACATCAATTTTTACTGGTCATCTAATATTCGTTGTCTACCTGCTTCCATTATACCCTGTTCTCATTGTGAAGTGAATGACTTGCACCTGACTAAATATGTCCCAAGCTCAGAAGAATGCCAAAAGTGCTGCCTAGCTCAACGCCATTTACTAGTATCTCTATTTAACAAATAAATCCCAAACCAAAAAACTAACCGATTATTTCAATAGCCAGTTACAAATAAACAAAAAAATGTGTAACATCTTAAGAATGTTTTACTGTTCACAGGTTGTGTACATTCTGTTTAAGTTTTTTATAGTTTTTTATTTGTCCTTTGAAATGTTGAAGCCTTCCGAGGTAGTGCTGTGTTCTTTCATGTTGTTAGTGTATTTTTTTTTAGTGCTTAATACTGAATGACGGGTTTTTATTTTAATGTTGATGGTAAATGTGTTCACAATCAGCATAACATTACCTTTTTGGTCTGATTTTGCTGTCATCAGCCCTGTGAAGGACATCCATTCTGTGCTTGAGGTGACTGTATATGATGAAGATAGGAACAAGAAAGTCGAATTTTTGGGGAAGATTGCAATACCTTTGTTGAGGGTAAGTCATAATTTAGGTTCTTTCATATTCAATCGTTTTTTGGCACTTATTATGAAATGATAAAGCAAGTAATAAATGTTTTGCTGCCTTTGATATTTGTGGATTCATTCATTACATTTGTTCATGTTTGGTATTTGAAAATAGCTATATATACAGGAAGAAAGAATGGAAAATTACGTTTTCTTTTCTTTCTGCAGAAAGTGCATTGTATCCTTACTGAAATGATTCACTCGTGTTTTCCTATTTCCGTTTCGATACACAGGTGAGGAATGGTGAGAGGCGCTGGTACGCCCTCAAAGACAGAAAGCTTATGCACAAGACAAAAGGGGCTGTCTTGTTAGAGATGGACTTTGTATTTAACCAGGTTTGTGAACAGCTGTCTTTGTCAATCCCATTGATTTTCAGCCGTGTATTAACATGTCACTGGTCATAACCCAATCAACTCCACAGTTCATGTGCTGGTATTTGTAATGATTTCTATAGTAGGCCTATTCCTACATAAGGGAAAGTGTTTGTTCCGGGCCTTTACACTGACCTGTATGCTTCTGCGGAAGCCGAGAATGTTTCTGAGTGTTCTCAGAGGGTCTGCTAGGGTAATAATAGTTGTAAAACGCATAGAGCATGCTCTTGAGCATGGATATGAGCTATATAAATGCAATTATTATTATTATTATTACCTGTGTGAAAAAGGCAATGATGGTAATATTTACTTTAGGGCTGTCCATAATTTTTCCTAGGTAGATGCTGTACATTTTTTAATACATCAGTTGTAGAACGCAAGACTTCATCTTACAGAATAAACTGAATCCTTATTTGAGCTTTTGATAAAGTAAATAGAAGACACATCATAATTGTCTTTGAAAGAGAACAGCTGCAACAGAAAGCAAGCTTTTAATGGGAGATAAACCAGAAAGGCTTTTTTTCTGCTATTAATATCATCCAAATCGTAAACTTTCACAGAAATTGTGTATTTTATAGACATAAGCTTATAGTCCTTTTTCTGATGTCATTTTGAAATGTTATGAGAAGATGCATCAAGTGGAGTAGTCCTTGTGAGTTAGCATAGGTGGATATATTATAGAAAGTGAATGCAGCCGGAAAAGAATAAATAAAAGTGCTAAAAGAAATTGTGCTACAAACAATCATGCTGTTTTTCATTTCACTGTTTTCAGTTGAAGGCAGCAGTTCGCACCGTGAATCCAAGAGAAGAAAAGCTCATGAAGGCAGAACAAAAGTTCAAGATTTCTGTGAGTGTTACCATCTGGCATACCTTGATGTTCTTGCTAAAAAATGAATATTCTGACCTTTGGCTTTCGTTCCACATAGTGAAACTCCGTTTCAAAGACCAGTAGCAACGTGACTATGAGGTCTTGACTCTTTAAAACTAGAATCAAAATCATAATTGAGATATAGAGCGCAATTTGGTTGTGTCAGCCACACTTAGTTCAAGCAATCAGTGTACGAAATGGCACCAACATTTTACAGAGGTATTGTGGCAGGCTTTATTTGGTGTATAGTCTCTAAGTATCATTTGAAAAGTGGAATGCCCTATGTAAATAGTGTGTTATAGTTAAATAAATCAGATGAGTTTTATTTTATTTTATATCAGAAGAGTGTATGTGGAAGTTTTCCTTTTGTGAAATAGAGGGGGGAAGGGGGGAGTGTTTATGTCTCTAAGTTCAAACCCTCTGAAACCCCTGTAGTTGGTCACACATCCTAAATTTCTTGTGTTACTCGAGAATTGCGTGTAGATGCTTAGACTAAGAGACTAAGAGATGTTGAGACTTTTTTTTCATTTGTCCTAAAACTGAACTCATATGTCTAATAGGAAATTTTTGATTACATAGGTATACAAAATGCCACCGAAGGTGTGTAAGTTACTTTTATATTATTGGTTTGTTCACCAAAAAAATGACTGTTGTCCTCCTTCCACTTTTTTCCCACCTGAGTCAAATCGTGTACTCAGCAAAGACATAGATTTTTAAATCTCGCCTCAGGCCAGGTAAAGTTCACTGTTCATTTTGACACGCTATGTTTTCTTTTCATTGATCAGATAATGAAACAGAACATCAACAGAGTGTCTGAGCTCATCGGAACGTTTATCGACACAGGACGTTTCATTCAGAGCTGTTTCGATTGGCAGTCGCCTGCAAGAACCATCACAGCTTTTATTGTAAGTCCGTGTCAGAATTTCCTACTCATAGTACCAGAGGTGAAGCTTTATAAACATGTTCAACTTCAATGCTAAAAATAAATACATATATTAGATAACAAATACTTGTACTTTTATCTCACATTTCCGGATGTGGAATAGATGAAAATTTGTCATCCTTGCATGGTTTGATTATTGTGAGGGCATTACAGTGTGAAAGTTGACATTTTCTCACTTTGGCTTTACTATAACTTAGTGCTGTAGCAGTTTCAGTTTGATTGCTTTCACTATGTTCTTGAACAAACAAGTCGCGTTTATATGATAGAAAATCACCTTGTACAAGTTGTTATTCTCACCATATCCTTGAACAAATAGGCTGAATTTATTTTGATAAAGAACATCACATTGTTCATGTTTATTATTCTCACTACTCCTCTTCTCTCATGTATGCTGCAGGTTTATCTTGTGATAGTGTGGAACTTTGAGCTGTACATGCTGCCCATTTCCCTGCTTCTTGTCCTGCTCAAGAACCTGGTGGTGGCTCAGATTGTGGGAGGCTTCAAGAAAGAACCAGTGGAAGAGGTGAAGGCACCAGGCAAATTTACATAATGATGGCAACCATTCTGGCCAAGTGTTTCTGAGTTAATACCATACAGATGAGCATAATGAAGTAAAGATCTAATTATTTTATTTTTTTAGGGTAATGTCTATATTTCTGACAAGTGATAAGTGTCTAGACATGTGTATGGTCAATGCCTGGGGATTGTTTATCTGGTTGTTTCATGGACATGAGGTCTGAAAAGCTATTTATGATTGATGTAGTCAGACTTACAGTTAGCATACAAACTTATCTTTTGAGATATTTTGCCCCTAAACGAGGTCTGGAAATCAATTTGCAGTTTGTTCATGAACTTTTATTTTTTTCGTGATGAACACATACAGGACTACTTTGATGAGGAGGAGGAAGAAGATGATGAGGACAAAGACAAGGTGAGAATCTTAGATCTCTCTGATCATCTGTCTGTTTGTCATTCAGAGAATGCATCCCACAGAATCCCAACTGCATACATGTCTTGTCCTCTCCAAGCTGCTGCCCCTTGCCTTGTGCTAGTGTTCTCAGTCTGTTTGCTTCAGATGTCACTGCAGACAAGTACTAAGTAGTGCATGAAGTCAACGCCTCATTCCTTTACTAGCATTGTGTTGTCCCTTTTGTTGTGCCCTCAATTGTGTTGATGGCACAGGATTAGATTTTGGCATAAAGTAACACTTTTATTTCATTCTGAGTGGAGAACAAAGCAATTGTTATATCCCTTGAAAGACTTGGGATTAAGTTTTCTTAGAATAAATGAAAAATCATGAAAAGTTATGCTCTGCTGTATGATGTTTTTGAGGGAAAATTTGAAATCCTCATTGGTGGCAAGACAGTGAATTTGATCTTTAACCATCTCGTGCGTTTTGTGATGTGACCCATTGTATCGTATAAATGTAGTCAGTCTGTTTTGTTGTGAAGTCAACTTCACAAAGAGTGCTCTTCGCCAGCATTCTTTCATGCGTAGGTCTTCTGTTTCTGATACCTGACCTAGGATATTGTGCAGTTTGTTTATTTCATGAGCCGTGCAGTATCCCAGTATTTATTTCATATTCTTAACATTTTATCACCTTTTTATAGATCAGCAAATCCAAAGTACATTTTCTCACTCTTATTACAAGAGAGCATTATAAAATGCAATCTAAGGACAGCAAAGTGAAGAAAATAATACACAAATAAAGACTATTGGGGTTTTCAACAACCTATCTTTCTTGAAAAGGTGTAATGCCAGCATATGCTAGCAACAAAAGTACAGAACAGTGAATGGGAGGGCGAGCTGTAAGATAGTATAAGCTTGTGACTTCTCTCAGAGTTGTCAGTTTATGGAGTCGCAGCTGTTGGGAAAGCCATTTTCTTAACCCTTCCAGCCCCAGCCATTTTTGTGCACTCCCTAACCCCAGTCCCAGCCAATACAGCAGTATTTCAGAAAAAGAGGCATGCATTCTAAAAAGTGGTAGAGTATCTTTGTATTAAGGTTTAGATAATAACGTATGACAATGTTTAAAGGTAAATGAAAAAATATTATGAAAATTAAAGTTTAATTAGGTTCACTAATTTCGAAAAATGTACAAATTTGGTATCCCTGAAATTGAGAATATACACTCTTGGGATGGTGGGAGGTACAGGCGCTTCTGAATTATACGTGCATGGGGCTGGAAGGGTTAAGCTAGTTTTGAATGGATGTATTGTTCAGTTTGTGAGTTGTGTTAAGACATCCTACTTTTGCCACACCATGATTTGACCATTGAAAAGGAAAAGTTTAGGATAATAATCCTGTGCCCTACTCCTATGATTCTTGTACTAAGAACGATTTCTCATAGAGCAAGGTGCTGCCCAATTGGCCTTGTTTGTTTCGCTGCATGTGTGAGAGTGTTTCTGTTGTGAAAGTACTTTTATGGAATCTGAGGACAAGTGATAAGAGAATTCATAGGAAAGGGCAAAAGTAATAATTGTTTGTTGGGACTTGTTGCTTTTGTTCTAATCGCCTGGTGACTAGTCAAAATGTATTGCTTTTAACAGACAGACACTTTAGAAGTATACTCAGATTTCAGTAAAGCCTCCTTTACCAAATTGATGTAATGAAACTGGTCTTGTTTTATTCTCTAGCAAAAGAAGGTAATAATTCTTTAGAGCTTTGTCTTAACAGGCTAGCCTTTTCTTTTGGAACCCTTCTGTAATAGTAGTTCCAGCCTTAATTTTCCCTCTAGCATTGACTAGTGTTTGGTGTGTGCCTTCACGCTTGCTGTGCGTTTGTCTTCCCCACTCTACTGACCCTTTATTCGTTAGTCTTTCTTTTTTTCAACAAGATAGTTCTATGATTCTTTGTTTCCTTTTATGAATGTGCTCTGTTTTTTATCATATGGAATCTTTTTCTATCCTGATCTTTAATTCCCTTAAGAATAAAATAAAGGAGCATGTGATTTAGAACAAGGGGAGTGGGTGTAGGGTGGGGGGGGGTGGATGATGTTCAAACTAGGAGGAGAATAACAACAAAAAAATAAAGAGCTGAAATCATGCAGGGTATTTCATCAGGTGTAAGGGGAAACATGTATATGCTGTTTGTCTGATAATCAAGTTTTGTTATGGTTAAACATTTGTACATTTTATCAGCTAGAGATCATCCACATCTATATGCCAGTAGTTAGTAACCTTCATCTAACTCGTAACTCGTTTTGAGGAACCCAACCTGTTTTGTTGTTCCTTCCTCTTTTGTTGATTTAGTTTTTATCTCCCGGAGATCAGCCTGATGAGGTGAGCTGTAAAGAAACCAAACAAGTTCATACTGCTACCTGACAATGTGGGTTTTTTCCATGATCAGAAAATGAATAAAGAAAATAAGCTTAAAAAGAGAATTAAGAGGAAATGATGTAATTAGTGAAAAACGGAAAACCAGTCTGATGATGTTCAAATTTAAGTTTGTCAGTCAATGTCTTATACTCACAAGTATGAATAGATGTGTTTAATTTTTCACTAATTCTGTTGTGAGAGAGTTTCAGCTGTTGTGTATACTTCTCATGAAAAATATTTGTTCTCTTCTTTTTGTTCCCGATTACGTAAAACAATCTTGACACTACCCCCTGCCTTGCAGACTTTCATTGGCTGCCTTGCCAGTGTAACTATTAAAGATTTTGTTGTACTTGTATATATACATATGTGCATAATGTTTTTACTTATGACACATGCAACAAAACTTCACTGAAACCAGCTGCATGCTGTTAACCAACATGAAGACCCACATTCAGAGGATGATTTTTTTTTACCATAAACATGAAAAATGTTAGTTTTTAGATTAAGAAGACGACAGGATCGATAACAATAAGATTAAGAAGGTCTTTGTGGAGTAAATTCTCTCGTAATACCTGTTTTCAATAAGCTTTCCCAATATGAAATACCAGTGAATAAAGAGTTTGTCACAATGTAGCACATTATTTCACCCAGAGAAAGGTTATAGTCTAATTTTCCCGCTTGCCCTATTTTTTATGGATTAAGCAAATTATGCCCAGTGAATGGTCTCTCATTTTGTAGAAGTGTTTGATACTGTACAGTTTATCTCTCATCGCTTCCTAGTATGTATGTCTTGCTAACCCGCAAGCTTTAATTAACAAATTTGTGACAATAGTTTTTGCTTCTACCTTTGTTGATGCTGTATACCAGTCACTAATTTGCTTGTGTGGTTGAGAGTTTGGGGGGATTTTTTTTTTTTACTGTTGTTAGGAAGGGTGGGGGAAGGAAAGAGAGTTGGGGGTGATCAGGGGAAAGTGTACTGTAGGAATGTTGATGTTACGGGCTTATCGTTTGTTACTCGCTTTTCTGGTGTATGCGTTGCTGACAGATGTTTCACTTTTTTTATTACAGTTGTTATGGAATACATCAACATTCCACTGCTGTAAAACAATATGAGGGCATTTTTGTACAATGTACCCAGTTCATTGATATGTGAATTTAAAAAACATTGTGCAGTACACTTTGTTTAGATAGAGGTACAGAGTCCCATTAAACGTGCCTCATAATTCTATAGTCAAAGGTAGAATTTGTTCTTTCCTCTGTCAGTTTTCACAAAACAGTTCACTATTTCATGCCAAGCTATGCATGTATTTCTTAAACACATCAGTTGTGTACCAATTCAGCAAAATAGCTTTGGTCCTTAAGCAGGTAGAACTGTAGAAAATTGCTGGCTACGTATACATTTATCTGTATCTCAGCCATGTGCTATAGAAATAATTAAAGAGATTTCAGTTATGTAATTGCTGGTATTTTTGTTTAGGTTATATTGGTGTCTTCAGTTTATTTTTAGGTATGAAAACCTTTCTTCAGTGTTTGGTCTTCCCGCTTTGCTTTCATCTCCTAGCATGTCTTTGAAATCCCTTAAATTTCAAACTTCTTCCTCCTTATAACTGTGGGTGATCTTAAGTGCTTGTAATTTGTATTATTTCCCAAAATTACCTAAAAACAAAATCATCATCTTTTTTACTTTTGTTGTCTACCACCTATATGTACATTACAAGTCACTTCTTATTGTTGTCTATGCAGGGGCCTTTGTGTGAACTCCATTATTTGGCCTCTGTTTTGGTACTGCCTCTCTACACTTGCACCTAATGTTGTGTGGGTGATTTATGGGCACCGTGTTATGGTGATATGATCTGCTTCTGCTTTTTTTCCAATGGCAGAATCATCTTTTACACTATGCTGCTTCCTGATGAAATATGAGTTAAAACTGCACCTCAATATCTGGGGTTGTTTGTTTTTGTTGAATTTCAAGGTTTTTGTAGAGATATGATCCCTTGATGTCCTAACTGTACATAGTGCAGAAAGAAGTTTTTCTGGAAAGACAGTCCAAATAATTCCGTTTAACTATTTTCTTTTTTCAAAAGTAAGGGACAATACTCAGACCTGGTAGCAGTTTGTAAAAGAATAATTATACCTTTTTAAAATCTTAACCCTTACAATACCAGACTAATTTTAGCCCTCACTTCGGCCTCTGGCCCATGTAAGAGTCCTTGACTCCTCAGGCCCAGCCAATATACTGATTGTGTCTGTAATATTTTTTTCTTTGCAGACATTAAAAGAATTTCTATACTGTTTTGTTTGAAGTTTTAGAGGATAACACATAGAATATTTTTCAGAGACTTTTGGATAGATTATGGTAAAAATACCTGACTGGCAGGCGCGGTTCGTCCCTAGAGCACAGTCGTGCAGTGCCGCCCAAATTTTTTTTAACGTTCTATTACGTAAAACGCCCACAATAATAAAATAAAAGAAGCCAGAAACAAACACTAGCCAAATATTATATCAAAACAAGGTCCTCACTGGCGCCATAACTGTCATTTCTGTGTCTATAGCGGCGTAAAACATCTACAATGCCATGCCAAAGTCCACGGGCTATAGCTAAACATAATAGGATATTATTCAACAGTGTAACCTGACCTTGGGGATAACCCAAGCAATGACAACACTCGTAGCGAGTTTGGCGATACATTAATATTGATAAGACGGCACATCTCAAATGTGCTCCTGCTGTATAGTGCCGAAACATAGCCCACAGCCAAGTCTTGGCCCAGTCTAAAAATAAACGCGATAGACCGCACGCTATTCTTTGCTAATATTATGTGACCCCCGGAGCAATCCAGCGGAGTGCTCAAGTGAATTGTTATTGGTTCATTGTCTGTGTTGCCACTATTTTAAGTGACTCTGTGACCGTGAACCTGAGGGAGGTGAACGTGACCGTCCTATGGGTTGTGCCTTTGAAAGGTTTTGAAGTGGAGTAGTGAAAGTTATTACTTGAGTGTTCAGTTCCAATACAGGATGAATGAAATTGATGTTTAGATTTTTTTTTTAAATTGTACTAGAAATCAAAGCGACAAGTAAAATGAATGGAAAAAAAAGCGCGAGGTCCTCCCTCACCAACCCAAAGATCCTAAAAATATACACCGTCTCATTTACTATGCCCTCGACTATCTTCAGCATGCAATAGCTTAATTGTGCACGTCCACTTTTTTAGCCCCACGAGCCGCCCCTGCTGACTGGGTTTGAGGTGGCCGGAGCCCTGTGAGGGAATTGTATGTGACTGGGTGTGGGGGAATGAGAGTTTGTGAGGGAAATAAAGAAATATGGGCAACTGGGGCTGTTTTTAAAAAAAAGCAGCCTTATCAATTTCATAGTAGAAATCAGGATCCAGAAAAGGTTCTATCTCACAGTGATTTGTAATATTCAATGCCTAGAACATTAATTCAAAAAGTCCAGTCCGACCATGGAATCATTTCCTTTGTATTTTATTTTTTATTTCTCTTCAGCGTTCAAAAATTTAGGTCATATTGGTGTCTGAAAGAGTAAAAAAACTGTATGTCAAGTTGACTGAAACTGAAACCTTTGTACCTAAGATATAAATAAAACCATGATATTTCATAAATGGAGTGATACAATTATTGAATATGTTTTTAAGTTGAACATATAGATGTCAAATGTAGAGCTATTTATTTTCATGACTACATTCAAGTTAATATGTCATCCGTTGTATAACGCAGTAGCTCAGTAGTGAATAGGGAATATAAAATGTTGATATTGTCTTAACCAAGTTTGACAAAATTTGTGCTTGGATTTTTAGTGTTCAATTTTTATCTGGTCTCTTAGTCTCAGCATTTTAAATATAGAGGCCAAGAGCTTCATCTTTTTTTTTTAACATTGTGGATATTTGTATATGCCAAAGACGGACATTAACCTGAAAAATCAGTTAAATTCCATTTAGTCAATACAACAACCTGGTCTTGTTTTTTAGAAAGTTGCTTTTTATATGGAGTAGCTATATTGAAAGAATAAGTCTCAAACATAGAAAAGTATTGAATTATTAATTTAAATGATATGGTTATTTACAGGGATAATTACTGATTTACTGTTATGCTTGTCAGCTCATTATTGATAACAATTGTTGTGTTTTTCTTGTCACCAGACAGAAGAAAAGAAGAGTATAGTGGAGCGCTACCATGCCATTCAGGAAGTCTGTCTGACTGTCCAGCAGGGTCTGGACACTGTGGCTTGTCTGGGAGAGAGAGTGAAGAAGTAAGTGGGACACTGCTCGCAGGGACATTTTGAAATTAGTTTTAAAATGCAACCTCAGCCGTCCTCGTAAGTGAGATTTTTGTTCTTGATCAACACTGTGATGGTATAAAAGGCAATACATTCATTCTGTGACCCAGTGTGCCAGACACACGAGATTGATTATAATCCACAGAGAACTAAGTTTTTAAACATCATAATTATGTGTCCTTATAAAACTGCTAGGCCTACATGTATTTTTAGATTATGCTTGTTTTTGTTAATCTAATGTCACTGGTATGTCCCTTTTTGGAGCTTATTAATTCGTTAGAAGAAGATGCTCTTAGTCCTCCATGATTATACCTCATGAACACAATGCAAACCCCAATATAAACTGCATCAAATTTGTTTTGTTTATGTTTTCAGCACTTTTAACTGGAGCGTTCCCTGGCTGTCTACTTTTGCTGTTATCGTCCTCGTTATTGGCATGACTGTCCTCTTCTACATTCCTCTCAGATTTTTACTTCTTGCGTGGGGTAAGTAAACATCCTTTATCTCATACTGCAAACTTTTAGAAGTGGACTCATATTTTTTCCATCCTTTTCTCTCTATTTTTTGTAAAATTTGCTATTTTTGTTTTGTTCATCAAATCAAGGATAGCAGAATGAAAGAATCAAAATGAGGCTCAGCAAACGGCACTGCCTCCGTTAAAAAATGCTTTTGTTGTCATTATATCACTTCATTTTGTTGGGGTTCTTTTGTATAATGTGATGTTTTTCCTTTCCTTTCCCTTTTTTCCCTCGTTTTCTTCTTCTTTTTCATCTTCCACTTGCCATCCTCCCTTTCTTCTTGCTGGTTGGTGAGTGTAGTGGTATAATCTACTGTTCTTACATCATGTCAACCTGATTATTGACCTAATGTGTCTCTGCTTAAAAGTGACAAATAGTATTCTAATTTACATAAGTTATGAACAAACAACTGCGCCTCCTATTTTTGTTTCTGCTTCCTTTTGTTGTTCTGTATATCATCAAGACTTCAAACTGTCCAAAACAAAGCTGCATGTTTAGTTTTACGGAAAAGAAAGCGAGACTCTGCTAAACCTCTTTTACGGACATTGCATTGGCTTCTTGTTGAGAAAAGAATTGTGTACAAGTTGGCCTTCTTATGTCACAAATGTTTGAATGATAGTGCACCATCATATTTATCTAACCTGTTAAGACTACATTCCAACTCGCAGTTTAAGGTCATCAGCTGACAAAAAGAAAATAATTTTACCCTCTATGAAACTTAAACTATGGGTGAAAGGGCATTTGAATACCAAGGCCCCAAGATCTGGAAAGCTTTACCAAGTACTTTAAGAGAGATCAAATCTTTTGATTCATTCAAATGTCAGCTGAAGTTGTTTCTGTTTTTAAATTAATAAGATGAATATTTGGAGTGATTTTCTTTGAGCCAGAACACAACATTTTATGTTACTGTTGTACATTGTACATGTATTGTAAAGCGCTCAGAGCCTGTGTATTTTAACCAGGGTTGAGCGCTATATAAATATCATTTATTATTTTTTATTATTATTATTATTATTGTCACTGGAACATAGATTTTGATTTTTAAGCTAACACAAGTTGTGTGTGGTTGATATGTGACACGTTGACAGGTAAGCTGATGATGAATATGGAGAGAGAGAGGTAAAGAATAAAAGAGAGATTATAAATAGATGGATATATACCAATTCATGTTATAAAGTGGAATTGAAAAAATGTGTTATTTATATGATATAATTTTAATATAGTTAGTTAGTATTCTTTTTCTGCGTCTTTTTTTTTTCTTCTTTATATCACCAAAGGAACATGTTCTGATTTTATGATAACACAAGTTGTGTATGGTTGATATGTCACATGTGACATGTTGACAGGTAAGCAGATGATGAAATATGGAGAGAAAGATAAAGAATGAGAGAGAGATGGTAAATAGGTGGATATAATGATAATAATATACTTATTAATGTTATAGACTAGAATTGAAAGAAATGTGTTATGTGATAATGATATATTTTTTATATGCATTCAGGTATCAACAAATTCACCAAGAAGCTGAGGAAGCCAAATGCCATTCCTAACAATGAATTGCTAGACTTCCTATCTCGCGTTCCTTCTGACAATGAAATGGTAAGTGCCTGTGAGTGACGAGGTAAATGGATGTGTTCACAACTGGCCCAGCTTTGAACATCTTGTTCAACTTGCTACTGAGAGATAGTATCTTTGGATTCTTTGTTTTGAGGCCCAGAAGACTTTACTTAAAGACTTATTTCTTTTATAACCCAGGCCTGTGACCAGTTACAGTGCAGCCTCTCTATAACGACATCGTCGGTACCAGAAAAAATGTTGTCGTATAGAGTTGTCGTTATAGAGAGGCAACAAAAAATTACTAATGATATATAAAGAAAAATCGGGACCTGGGCACCAGAGAATGTTTTTATATGGAAGGTCGTTATAGAGAGGTTCCACTGTATCTAAAAGTATTGTATAGGTGAGGGTTTGCTGTTTTTATTGCTATATGGTATGAAGATACTGTGACTACATTATGTGTCTTTATTCTTCATTTTACAGTTACAGTTCCGTGAACTGCGTCCTGATATTCCAGCCAACACATCAACCACAAAGAAGAAGAGATCCTAGCAGAGGGAAGTGTGAGAGCTCCATCCATTGTGCCTTCACATTCTTCACCTCCCTGTTTCTCCACTGACTTCACTCACCTTATATATATAGATATACAATATACATTTCTAATTTTTTCTCCTCTGTAGATCTGTCCTAAATATTATGGATGTTGATTTTACCTGTTGGCCGGGGGAGGGGGGTTCTAGAGTCCTCAGTGCCAACAGCAACATGAAATAACATTATGTAAATTTACTTTGTTAATGTGAGCCCACGACTGCTTTTTTATGGTGTGGTTCATGTACTGGAATCTAATCATTATAACATAGACTATTTCTTCTGTATTCTATATCTCCACACTTGAGCACTTTCTTGCTAGTGGTTTGCTCAGCAGAACTAAATGTCCAGGAAAATCCAGGATCTTTAGATACCAAGAGATTAATTTCAGATCCAACAGTTCCATGGCTGCAGACAGCTAAAGTGTGACTTTCAATTACTTTACTTGAAGTGAAGTGCAATTTTAGGGTCCTTCCCCCACCTCTCCCTCCCTCCATCTCCAGTGTAGAGGCAGCACACTCCATACCACTGGTCAATGGGAAGTTTAAAGAGTATCACCATCGTCATGTGTCAGAAATTAGATTTCTTCCATGATGAATTGTAACCTGTGGACAATTAGATTTATGAATAGTTTCGGACTTACTTATGCAGTCCTAATAATACTTTCAGAATGAGTTAGTGAGTAGGCCTACTGATAGATTTATGTTTCCCTAAGTAAGACTGCTGTATAAACCAAGTTGCTAGTGGTCATTGACATGAGTAAGAATGTAAGGCTGAAAAAAATAACTGCAGGTTGTTCAACATTCAGTGCTGCTGATGTTATATACTTGCTGGGTTTTTTTTACTCCCAGAGCTCTGTGTCCCTCCCTTTTCCGACAGCAATGTGCTGATTTTGAAGGTGCCCTTAATTATTTCGACTGGACACGGTTTCGTCTATTCCGGGTAGGGATTGATTTCGAATTTTTCACCACAGATAGTCTGCTCTTCAGCTTTAAATTGCTACGGTTTCTGCTACTGACAACTGCCATGTGCAATGGCAACCCTTTTGCTTTTTGTCCTCATCCTAGAGAAGTTCTCTGTCCTTCTAACTTTTGGATCAAGGATGTGAAAAAGCTTAGGAAAAAGTTCCTGGCTCCACCAACATACCCTCTTGGACTGGAACTTGTGCAAGTGCAATGGCATAAAAGCAAACTCTCTATCTCAATGTCAACTGATCTCTGCTCAGCAGCAAAATAGAGGGAAGTTTCAATACTTTCGGGTTAGCCAGTAGCTGAATCATCACGTGTTAAGCAATTTACTTATTTGAGGTTAGATGTGTTCATCATGCCTGTATGACCTGCAGTGAGAATATGAGAGATCAAGGTGTAAAATCATCTTGAAGAATCTCTGAAGTTTAACAGTCTTTTCTTTATCACTGCAAGGAATTTCATTATTTTTGTTTGCTAAAATTGAAACTGAGAAGTCATATTTTCAATTCTGACCTTAATATTTTGTTACTAAGATCAGCCTGCTGATTTTTAAGGTTGGGTGTTGTGAATGCCTTTGTGATTATTTCTTTTAGTTGTGTTGCCTTGAATATGATTATCTGTTGTTTGAGAGAAAGTATTATGATGGACTTCTGACAAGAGGTTATGTTGCTGTTCTTTGTCATGCTGATTGTAACATTTTTCCCCTGAACCCTTCTTTTTCCCATTTTAATTCAACTGATATCTACATTCCAGGTCTAATTTGCTCTCCACATTCAATATCATAACTCACAAGTTTACAAGACTCAGCCAAATGTGTTACTGTATATAGAACAATGTTCAATGCTCATTTCACAGTTATGGTAAATGGATTTATAAATAAGTTAAGTGAATGTGCTAATTGAAAGAGAGGTTTGCAAGTAATGGTCATATTGTGTGACTGTCACATGGAAAGAATGATCATTATTGTATGGTTGACATGTTTCATGTGCTTTGATAAGAATGGAATAAATGCTTTAAAGTCATTGGTTACATTACTCACAGGTTTATTGTTTCATGGTCAATATGATATGTCACTGTAGCATTGATACATTTTTTTAAATTTCTTGCTTGAAGCTTGTTTCTGTTACTGGTCTTCATACATCACATCACAGTATTGTACATGTACAGATGTGTCCAGTTGGACCAATGTCACTGTTGAATCATTTATTTTTTTTCGCATGCTTTTTCTTCCTCTTCATTTTCCCAGTGGAGCTTTGGGATTTCCATCTGTAGGGTTCTCAACCTACGTGGCAGTTGATATTACGTGCATGACAGTTTTGCTACCTTTAGGTAGTGTTTCTAGCCTTCCAGACAACCATATCTCTATTTCAGACTCTTGATTTTTCATACCTGTCAGAATGGCTTCAGTTTTGGGTTGGGGTTAGCTTTGATTTTTTCACAAAGCAGCTGGTCTGCTCCTCCCTGACTTTCATCTGCCAAAGTGTCTTTACTATGAGCCATTGCTTTACAAAGTCATTACAGAAAGATGTCAGTTTTTTTGCAATTAGTTTTTCTGAAATTTGAAAGGATAGTCAGGAAATACTGACATGATGTATGTTTATGCTTTTGGACCTAGGAAACTTATACAGAAATATAAGTTGTATACTCAAAGGTGTACCACTTCATATTTTCATTCTCTGACTGATCTTGTGTTTATTTTATTATTTTATGGCTGTTTCGGGAAGTTGGTAATTTGTTTGTTTTATGGCCTACATTGTTCTTAATTCAGACTGTCGTTTAGTGTTTTTGAGTAATAAAAAACATTGTGTTCTTTCGTCTTGCATGGATCTAGGGCTCGTATATTTTGTTTACAGATTTTTGTTTGTAGCGAATAAACAGCATGTAGTCAGGTGTCACTCCTGAGTGCAGTTTCCTCATGAAGATAAAAATTTGGCTTATTCAAATGGTAAAGTGATGAACACTTACCTGACAAACAAGTATCTGTTCCTCTTTTCTCTTGCAAAGGCAGTAACTTAGAAAAGATGAAGTAGGTCTACATGAAGCTGACATGGATTGTGCTTGGACAGACAATGGACAGAACACACAAAAATGAAAAGCCTGTAGTTCTTAATTTTAAAATATTTTTTTAAATTTAGTATCTGCTATTCAGAATGTAATTCATGCCTTCTTTAAAAACATTATTAAATCTGTACTTCTCGTTTGCTTTTCATGTACGATTATTAAAACATGATTCATAGGAACCAGGGTTGCAGAAAATTAGAATGTTTATTATTTGCTCCAAATAGGCCTACTTTGTCTTCCTGTGTTCATAATTTAGTTTAAGGCTAAACCTTCAGCTAGTCTTTTTTTATTCTTTGTCAAGCTTGGTCTGCCATTGATGTCATTCTACAAATTAACTTGCATAATATTTGTCCATTTCTTCTGTCTCCTTATGATTTTGAGGTTTTTATATGTGGGGGGAAAAGAATGGTATAATGCAAGCAACTTTGAAGTCGCAGTTAGTTGGAAAAGGATGTCACTATTAAAGCATACGTAGTTCATCAGAGTTCATTTACAAGATTTACAATTAGTTTTTTTTTATCACTCGACTCAAACTCAAACTTGTGAAGTCAATTGTAATTTGAGCATCTGCGAGAATGAAATTCTTCTGAACTGTATAGATTTTTCTTCCTTAACTATAGCTTTAGAGAAGAGGATAGATGTTTCTATCAATACCGTCTCTTAATGAAGAAACAAGTGTCTCATAAATTGTTTTTTAAACTTTTACAAATGTTCTCCATGGAAAAGTGCAGATAAAGAGAAGCTTGTTTTCAGAATTTGAATTGTGGGGGGTTTTTTCACTTTCACAGTAGGCTACAGGTTAACACACCAGGATTTTTAAAAATACCATGGCATAAGTAATCCTCGATATGAACTTAACTTTGAGACATTGAACTGAAGACTTCAATACAAAGTGAGTTTTTATAAAAATAGATTATGTGAGGCAGTGAGGTGAAATCAGGCGCTCGTCAAAATAATCAAAGTGAAGAAACTGGCCTTTTCCCGCTAGTTTGTGAATTTCTATTGAATTTTTGCCCATTAAAGAACACATTTCTGTGTGAATTTTACTGAAAAACGTTGATTAAATTTTCAGTTTCCTCTGACTCTCAAGCTAAACTTCGTTGTCCATTTTCTCGCTAATTTTACTTCTGAAACCAGGAGATCCCACCCCTTTCAATTGCCAATCTCAACTTGCATTCAAGATTACTGGATATTTTTTTCATCGAAGGCAAGACAAGACAAATGAACAAGCTTTGAGCAGATACCAGTAGCTCCACATGCCCAAAAATTGACGAGCGCCTGATTCCATCCATCTCTTTGTGACACACACATATTTTTTTTTTTCGGAAGGTGCCTCTTGGCCACAAAAAAATCGTTGATTTGCTAGCAGTTCTCGGTTACAAATCTGAGCAATGATTGTTTTGTTGAATACGAGTTCAGGCTCAAGTCAACATTCCCAATTTTTTAATGAATGTGTTGATGAATGCTTTGTTTTTTTTTTTTGGTTTCTATCTTTTTTTTTGGGGGGGGGGGGGTCCAAAGTTGTTGTTTTTTCGTTCTTTGTTGAGTACAGATATATATTTATCAGTCCAGGTCACAGACATTAATAATATGTGTCTCCCCAATTGTTGTCTGAGTACAGAATACAATTTTTTCTCCCCTTATTTTTTTTTAAGAACACAAGGACAGTAGTAAGGTTGGATTGTTTGTTTTTTTCAAATGACCATACTCACAGCTAACCATTGGTCACAGTCATTTGGTGTGGAATACCAGTGTCGAGCCTCACTGCATGAATCATTTGGAGAAGCAAACCAGAACTTACATATTTATTGTGGAAATTTCTTACACAAAAGGCAAGTCTGCATTACACAGTTCATAAGTTTTTTTGCCACTGCTTATCCCTGTAATGTGTAATTTGGAATACAGGGTCTTCTTTTTTCATACTAATATTCAGTTAGGTCTGTTCTTGTGTTGGGCTCAACATATGAAATTGACACACTTTTGTTTGATAATATAATATAGGAAAGACGGAAATAAACTAAAATAGATAGATCTATAATGTGTCTTGACATTTTATAGTCAGTAAGATTCTCAACGCTCAATAATGCATGTCCTTACTCTATTATTCACATTGTGAAATGCAAACAGTTTCGAGTGATGAATTTTCAAACCTAGTTTTAGCTTTACTATGAAAGACCATAACTGTCTTGTTTGTTTTTGTTTATTCTCTGAGACCAAGACAAATTTTTATATATACAAATATATTACACACAGCAGTGGGGGGTTGTTTTTTTTTGTTTTACTTGCAAATGAATTTAATTCTGTAAAGAAAACTATTTTGAAATTTGTCACCCATTTGATTTCATAAGTATGTGAATCATAATAGTTCCCCATAATATATGTAATTTGGGAATATTTTTTCAGTACTGACACATAACTTCACACTGTTGCTGTTAGTTTTCTAACCTTATTTTACCCCTCACTCAGACCTCGAGGGATTATTATTACTGAAACTTCTGGTTATGAATTTAATTTTCAAAATAACTTTCTATAGGGCCTATATTTTGTGCTTCTCAATTTTGATATCTTACCAATTCTATGATGTTATGTCTGTTTTAAAAAATTTCTGCTGTTTTGAATCCTGTCCTGCCCTTTAGTCACTTTCACCCTTTGGAAAATAATATTTCAATTTCATATTTGCCGCAAGGCTGTTGGGGGGTTTTTTCTCAGCGTCTGTACAACACATTTCATAACTTGGGTCGGGGCTCCACCTGATTTAAGATCATTGTAGTTATTAATTGAACTCTTATGACTCTATCATGTTCGATATAAGTCTACAGATAGTAGTACTAGTAGGAGATCTCAAGTATACATAAATAACAATTACTTTGTGTGTTTTTCAAGAACAGATAGAGCCATGCATTTTTGTCTTATATTTCACTTGAGTTTGAGAAAGGTTTCACAAAACCAAGAATGTTTACTTTTGGCATGTGAAAGATATACATAACACTTAACTTGTTTCTTGGTGCAGCTCTCATGAGATCACACATGTAATAATCATTTTTTCCCTCTACTTAAGGGGTGGTGAGTCTCTTTTATTTTTAACTGCCATCTTTAATATAGTTTGTCCTTTATTCATTTACAGGAAAATATTGACTTTAATTTTAGGAGAAAAAAATTGTAATATGCAAGATAATTAAAGTTTTGTTCTATGTAATTGTAATTTAAAAGATTGACTTAGGTTCCAATTTTTGCACCCAACAGTCAATTTGTTGCTATTATTATGCTTGTTACTAATGTTACTATGTCTGTAACTAGGGCTATTTCTAGCTTTGTTGTTGAATGTGATACATCAGTTCACTTTTTTTAGTTAAAACCTCAAATGTTGAAAAAAGTACACTTTTTTCCGGAGCGACTGTAATTTTATTAGAGTTTGGGATGTCTGAGAAAAATTTCACTAAGCATGCCCCTCCCTGTTCCTGCCCCTATTATCTTACCATAGCATCATTAGTGCCAATAGAAAGAATGTAGTTTTCTCACATAATTGTAATAATAATTCAGGTTTTCTTGACGGAGTGGAGCAATTTTAATTTCATCATATAGACAGACCACAGTATCGATTATGCACAGCTAATTCAAAGGTAATGATTCTATGAACTATTATAATCATTTCATCATTAGATTTTTTAATATTCATGGAACTGATCTAGACTGTGTATTTAGTGGTACATGGACTGTGTATCAAGATGACACCCGCTGAATATTATGATTAAGGAAGAGAATGATCTGTGCAATGGGGATCACTGCATCTCCTGAGGGTTGTGGACCAAGATAATTTACATTTGTGATGTAGCAGTTAGGTGCTCCGCTGTAGCTTGCAAAAGACCTGATATGAGGAGAATTTTATTGACTATCTCGGCTGGGTTGGCTCTGCCAATCAGAGTTGAAGCCCACCTCTTAAATTATCAAAAGTATGTTGCTGGGAGCGTAAAACACCTTCATTATTAAATTTAAAAAACATACAAAAAATGGAGCAGAAATGAAATGGGAAGGAGGAGGAAAAGTGTACGGTACCAGTAGAATGTACTTTGTTAGACCATTTTAGTAGGGCCTATCAGTAGAAACACTCCCTAAGTCAGAAGTTGATAAAGGGCCCTTCTTCAACTTCTTGTTTATTTTCTTATTATTTTATGGAGAACAGGAGGGGGGTTATATTTTTTATGTTTTTGCATTTCTTATTGCATGTGTTTTGAATTTGTTTGTCTTGAGTTGAGGTTTTTTTCTGTTTTTGAAAGGGGTGTCCGTAGAGACATTAATTATGTTGTTACTAGTGTTACTCTTGGCTTGGTGTTATCTTGGGTGAGCTAACTAAATCAAGTGAAATCAGAAGGTTTTTTTCCTGTTCTCTGTAATTTAGAAACTCTTCTGCTACATCTCGACCAACACTTTCGATTATTTTATGCACCACAAAAGTGGGTTGTGTACTGCATCAAATTTACTTAATACTTGTACATTGTACTTGTATGAAGACATACATTTTTTTAGAAAGAAAACTTTTTTTTCTGTGTCCAACAAAGATATGTCCACAGTTAAAAAATGTGTCCAGTGTAATGAATGATTCGTAATGATGATTTTTCTCATCCACAATATGTCTCCTTTTTCCTTAAAGTGTTAAGTGTTGGAAGGTAATTGAAAACTCTCAGTCTGTTACTGTTACTGAATTGATTAATGTAAAATTCATTTGATTTTGACTTTACTCATGCCGTACACAACAGTTTAAAGTTTGTGTGGCTTTCAATAAAATACTCATGGCAGCATCCTTCACCATACACAATGATGAGCATAATGATATAATGATAACTAGACAAAGGACTAGGGAATTGCAATATTAATTTTTGTCATTTGGTGGTGCCCGGACTTTGGAAGAGCCAGTCTAGGATTTTTTGTCTAAATTTGAACAGATGACTGCAAGCATAATGATAATTATAGTTATAGTATGGTCTCTTCTTATAAATTTTCAGGACTAGAATCAACATACTTGTACATGCGAGTCATTTTCATTCATTCAATCATTACATGCTTTCATATCTTTGCCAAATGTCACAAAGAGAATGTATCATTAATTGGCAAATCTTCATCCTTTTTATACTTCCTGTAAAAATGTCATGTGCAAAATATGTACATGTGTACTTTACCTCCTTTGATTAAAAGCAGTTACCTTGTACCACTTGTTGTTCATATTCATACTTGTAGAGTTGTGCTTTATCAAATTTTTTTACCATTACTTTTGAGCATGAATGTGTCGATGTCATCTGGCTGAAGAGCATGTGTCTTATGTGTGTAGTTCAAGTACATGTACTTGGTAATGTGAATCTCTGATGATGGATACAATGCAAACAGCGCAGTGGTGTGGTGGTTAATGATTCAGATACAGTGGAAACCATATATAACAGGCCCGGTAATAACAGGGATTTTTTTTTAAATCCCCGTTTTTTCCGTCTCTTTCTCTATATTAAAAGTTATCGGCAATAGCAGGGCCTCAACGGAGCCCAACCGGTTATAGCAGGGACAAAGGCTCGTTAACAATGTGTAAAAAGTAAGAGAGAGAGAGAGAGTAGCGCAGTGATGGAGCAAGCCCACGCAAGCCATTCCACTGCAAGCACACGCAGAGTGTGAAACAAGAGAGTAGAGAGGGCTGCGGTGTGCTGCAGACCTCGATCTAGCCCGAAACCTAGCAACACGCACGCGTAATGTGTCGCCAACAATGTTAAGCGCAAGAGAAAATGCCTTTCAATTCAATTGACAAAAAATACGAAATAATCCAGGCTGTTCACAAAAAGCAAGCTCCACTTGCAAAGATGTCGCCAGCTCGACATTCCACAAGGGTCGATTCACATCATTATCAAGAATAGAGAGAAGATAGTGGCAGCATACTCCAATGGAAAGTTTGCTCTGGATCGAAAGAAGATGAGACTACCTGATGCAGATGCTGTGGACCAAGCTCTTCTGATGTGGTTTTAGTTTTAGGGGACAAGGAGAAAGATAGTGCCAAAACCCCTGTTTGTGGGTACTTGTGGCAAGGGAAACTACCCGTGAATAAGTAGGCTACAGCTATATTAATCCACAAATGCTTACTTTCCTTGCATTTCTGATTTAACAGTGATCGGATAAAACAGGACATTTTCTCTACTCCCTCCATCCCTGTTGTTATATCAGGTTTCCACTATACATGTACATGTGTACAGTGAAACCTGCCCTGACGGCCACTTTCCATTTCCCCCCTAGCGTTTTTTCTATATATTTAACTGTGTTAAACAGGCACCTGTCCACCAACGCGGCCGCGGCCAACATATTTTAACACACAATCCCTATCACACCAAGCAATAAGTTACCTGTCTTAGACAGCCACCTTAGTGACTCCATTACGTTTTGTCATAAATTGTGCATTGGCCCCTAGCTTTGTGGGCGAGCTGTCATAATTCAATCACCTGTCGTTGTTGTTAGGTAGTCCCTCCAACCGATCATGTTGCGTAGGTCCCTCCCACTGTTGACCAATAGCTAACCAATTTTCAGCTGCTGGTGAGGTAAGCGTGTGATCCCTCATAACCCATAAGCCCCGCCCAGAACTCATACTCAAATCGTAAGTGAGATCAATGGTCACTGTTTACCCAGTCTGTAACAAAGCTGTCCCCATAGAATTATACAAATTTAGAAGGCCAAATTATGCACACAAAAAAGCAAAATTATGCAAAAATTATGCAAAGTTACTGTAACACCATTCACAACGTGTTTTGCACTTTTTCAACACGAATTTTCATGATTTTCATGTTTTATGTACAGAAAAATTGAAAACAGATCAGTAACAGTAATTTGTTGTGTATCTGGAAAAGAAAACAAAACACATCAGTAAAAAAAAAAAATTATAATCTCTGTAACTGTCAGTCTGTTGATCTAGATCTATTAGAGTAGAGGAAAGAAAAATGTTTAAAAAAAAAAGAAAAGAAAAGAAAGGGCATCTGGACGTCTGATGCTGGCACCTTACTAAAACCAGGGACGCCTGTCAAACCTGTCCCCGTAGTTTTATGCAAGAAAAATTTTGAAATTATGCAAACTGAGCTAAAAAATGTGAAATTATGCGATTCTGTTCATTTGAACAAAAAAAATAATAAAGGAAAATAATCAGAAATTATGCAAAAAATTATCAAATTTTGCTAAATTATTCGGGGTGCATAAAACCACGGGGACAGTCAAACACGAAACATCAGCAGACATGAGAACAACTTTTGATGGATTGAAAAATTGAACATGCTCAAGGAACAAAATCACAACCTATCATAACCAAGATCTTTTAACAAGGGAAATAACCAATTTTTCACTTAAATGAGACTTTTTACGGTGATTACGTCCGTTTAGTCACACGGCGAGGCGTTAATTGTTTTGTGAAAAAAAAGAGGAAAAAACGTGAAAAAACGAGGAGAATCCAAAATTATGCAAATGTAGCAGAATTACGCGAAAAAACGCGCCGCACAATCGCATAATCCTACAGGGAAAGACAAAGTAACAATGGACGTCAACATGAACTTGTGACAGAAGAGTCGCTCGTTCTTCGAGAGGTGGCGACCCATGTGTTTGTTTTACCATAGTGTCCATAGCACTCGGTCCTCCTTGCCTGACACATTTCGTTTTATTGTCGCCCTTGCACAAAAGTGGTACAATGTAACAAAAGAAGAAAAAAAAAGAAGAAAAAAAACCCAGCGAAAACAACAACAATGCGGCTATCTTCGGTTGGGACCTCAGACAGGAATGGTTGTTTTCTTCATCTTGATCAGTCCTGCCTAAGACTGCCACCTATCTTATACAGCCACTTTTCTCCATGACAATGGGTGGCCGTCTTACACAGGTTCGACTGTAATTATTCTTCACAGCATGTACGTGTAGACTTCAAAGACTGCAGTGTCTGAACCTTGCAGATCAATGTGGAAAGAATATTTTTTTTAATGTTACTCATCACATGATTCTTGAGTCAATGATTCCAACTAGCACAGGGGGGAACAGATCAGATCAGACTTTGGATTTGATTATTGTGCCTAGGTTTAATTCAATCAATTAATAAATCCGCAACAAGTCTCGCCACTCAACAGGGAGATAATTAGTGACGATGTGCAAGACCAAGGTCACTCTATGTCACTGTCACTGACTGCACCTACATCAACATGGTCGAGAGGAAATGGTGTTCGCCTCACTTTCTATAGGTCCCAGCCCCAGGTTCGAAACCTGACACTGACAGTAGTGACAGCAAAAAAAAATTGTCTAAAATTTTCTCTTTTTACCTCCTTTCCTGCCTAACTCTAACCTAACCATGCTGTCGTCTGCTTGGTCTGTCTTCTGCCCTCACCCCACCCCTTCCTTTTGCCCCCTGACACTTTCTGCAGCCTTTCAACTGCTGCTATTCCTTGGCTCATTACTGCTGTCTTTCACTACATGTACAATGTACTCTTTCAGCCACACCCCTGATCTCATTCTTAGGGAAGGTAAGATCTAAGAACACCTAACCTTCTCTGATAAGGGCGAAAAATCTTGGAGATCCCGTGTGCAAGTTGCGCACGTAAAGATCCCTTGGTGTTCCAAAGTACATGACATGAGTAGGCTTCGCCCACCACTCAGGCAAGATTCAAAATTAATTCCTGCCAAACTGAAAATTAATGTGTTCCACACAGTTACAAGCCATGTAAAACTTAAAACACCAAGCGAACAACAAAAGGGCATCCTACTTTCCACTCCCCCCTCCCCTGCACACAAGGTAAGTTGATAGGCCCTAGTACGATGACACATCTTATAAAATGTACACACAATCAACTTATGCCCACCCCCTGGGTGGTGCCACTGACTGAAGTGTCGTTAGGCCATCCCCAAAGGGGGGGACATTTCTCGTTCTAGTGCACAGTAGAATTGTAAATGGGCTGATCTAACATCATTGCTTTTTCTTTCCTAATCCTTACTTTCATCATTTCCCTCCTCTACTTTTGCATGTTTGTCACAGTCACTCTTGTGACCCGCTATTTCCAGGGTGCCTTGATAGTTGAAGTAGACTTTGTGCTGTTGAGGCTAGAGAGGTGAGCAGAGTAAGTCTGATTCCTTGTAAAGACTTGTCGACATCCTCCCCTTGGTGCTCATAACATAAATGTAACAAACAGGGATCTGGTAACAGGATTATTTAAAGGACAAAGGCTCGTTAACATATATACAATGTGTAAAAAGTGAGAGAGAGAGAGAGAGAGAGAGAGAGAGAGAGAGAGAGAGAGAGAGAGAGAGAGAGAGAGAGAAAAGAAAGGCATAGAATAACATTAACAGTAACAGGCCAGGTAATATCAGGGATTATTTAAACGACAAAGGCTCGTTAACATCTATACAATGTGTAAAAAGTAAGAGAGTAACGCATAGATGGAGTATGGCGCAAGCCCACAGCCAGTACGCGTAGCTGAATTGGTCCACAAATGCTTACTTCCCTTGCATAATTTCTGATTTATTAGGGATCAGCTATAACAGGACTTTTTCTCTGGTCCCGATCACCATTATATCTGGTGTCCACTGTACTGTCCTTGGTATTTTTATGGCCTTTGGTGTTAATCCAAACCATTTACAGAAGAGACTCCGTGTCTGCATACGGGACTTTGTTTCTATGTTTCAACAACAAAAACACGTTCAAGAGTGAACTGCATCTTCAGAGTGTAGCCATGACTGCTTCCACTTCCAAAGTACTGTGGTTTTTGTTACAGTGAATTGTGCACTTTGGTGGAGTTATAGGCTTTCCCACAGGAAAAGTTTTCTTTTGGCCAGAAGGTAAAAGAGAGTAACGAACATAAAAAAGGGAGACAGGACAATAGATGTTTGATAAGAAAGGAGCATACCACACAGGAGCACCCACCAACCACCCATCTATCGAATTTGCCCATTTTATGGAATGTTTAATTGAAACTTATCAATTCAATCCATAGTGCATGTGGCTGAGGAGATAGTGAGACTTGGGATTCAACTTATCTAAGACAAGAAAGATTACCCGGATTTTATTTTTAAAAATTCAATATAATCAACTCGATTTAAAAACGAATAAATTTTTTTCAAACGAGTAACCCGCCTTCTTGCAAATGATTTCAAGTCAGTTGTATCCAGAGTTTAACTGTATTTCAACCTTGAACAGATGCACAACCCACAAAGTAGGCCTAACACTGTTCCAAACACACGATTTGAATTAACATCTGAACCTTTAAAACATCAGGAATAAATCTTGCATCTAATGCACAACGAAGAACAAGCACAACAAATTTTCTTTTTAAAAAACAAGGACACCAGTATTAGGTATGGGATTTTATTCAAACATTTTACTTCTGCTGGGCCTGTTTCCTCATCTTCTGGAGCATCATTTGCATTTCTTCCCTCTTCCTCTTGCCTCTGATGTGGGTTCCCAGCTGAAAAAAAAAACAAATAGAAACTTTGACTTCACACTCCAACAAGGGTGAAAAGATGTTAGTTTTGGTAGAGGTTTTACGGCGCTCGCAGCTGCATAAGGTCATATGAGCGCCAGAAGATTAGAGGTGTTACAAGAGAGTAACAAACATAAAAAAGAAGAAGGGGAGAAAAAAACGATAGTTATTTGATAGGAATGAAGAAGCAAACCACACCAAAGTACCCACCAACCACCCACGAAAAGATGTCAGAGAGAAAAGTCAGACATTTATTTAATTAGTCAAACCCTGTTATACCACAAGCCCCACTTACCACCGGGTTTTGCCAAACAACAAAAAAAGAACTACATTTGCCCCTTTAAACTGGTTATCCACACCTTTGCCCACATCACTGCCAGGGAACTGGCCCCCAGGCGTACACACTACACACAGAGAGCAACACCAAAATTAACAGCTGTGCAGTGATAATCTCCCTTTCTCCCATGCTTAACAGCGCAATCATCACAAGCAGGAAGCCTGACTGCCGGGGGCGGCTTAGCGTACTGACGGCACTTTAGCCGCGCCACCCCCCACGGTTCGGCGTAGCTAATGAGTTAAAGGCGTGTAATTTGTATAGCAAAAATTCGATAAGAGCCATTTAGCGTGCTTGAGTCCGAAACGTGCTTTATGCCGGCGTGCTTAAAGCCGACACGGACTGTACTTATATTCGTTGATTGTGAGACTGAATGCACTTCTGTTCACAGCATTAGGATTCTCTTTCAAATTTCATATTTTACCTGAGAGCAAGTGTAAGTATTTGCCTTTCATTAGACATAACTGCTTGTGTTTTCTCTCTATACATTTACCATGGAAAAAAAAAAGTTTTGAAGGCACTGTACTTAAACAATGAATTTTCAAAAGTCTTGATATTTTGACATAGGGGATTCCCATACAGCAACATAATAACAGATCGTACATGATACAAGATAGTTCACTCCTCTCTTTGAGCCAAGTAAAAGTGTCCTCAAAATTCAGTGGCACCCTCTTCGAAAAAGCGCAGACTTTGCAGAGTTACCCTACTTGTGTGAAAAACAATTTTAACTTAAAGTGAAACTTACAAACTGTGCTATTCCTATTCTAGAAAAACGAAAAAGAGCTTCAAAACAAAGACTGCAGCACAATCTGAAGCAATGTGAAGACTTTCGCAGACACTTCTTTGGCTGAGTGAACAATCTTGTTATATGTACGATCTTTGATAATAATCAGAATGCATAATAGTCCCTGCAAATTATATACACAAAATTAAAAGTGATTTGTACTAAAACTTGTGTAGTGCCATGCCCCGTAAATCCCCAACTTGCCTCTTTGTCCATCAGTAGCCTACCTGCCCTGCCCCCCTCCCAATTTTTTCTCTTGCAGTTCACAAAAAAAAAAAAAAAAAAAAAAAAAAAAAAAAAAAAAGACAAAACACTAAAACATTTTTTATGCAGAGTAGCTGCAGAACAACAAACCAGACCATACTGCGAGAAAGTACAGTTGAACCTGCCACGACGGCCACCTGTACAACCGGCCATTCTCCATCCCCCCCCCCCCCAGCGCTTTTTCTATGTAATTTAACTGTAAATGGTCACCTGTCCAACGCAGCCGCCGCCATCTCATTTTACCAACCCACTGTCAAATTTACCTGCCACAGGCGGCCAGGCATGATCACTCATTGCCCATCGCTTTGCATAAATTTTGAATCGGCCCCGACACTGTGGACGGGCCGTCATCATTCACCTGTCGTTATTGTTAGTCCCTCTAGTGAATGTTAACCCAAGTTGACCAATGGGTAGGCATAACAATAAATTTTCAACTGCTGGTGAGGGAAGCGTGATCCAACATACCCTACCTATAAGCCCAGCCCACAACTCATGCACTAATTGTGTGTGAGGTGACTGATCACTTGTAACAATGGACGTTGACGTTAACTTGCGACAGAAGCATAGATTGTTCGCCCCAGTGGTGGCGACCAATGTCTTTGTTTTACTAGAAATAGTAAAATGATCCCAACTTACCCTCTTTTTACAGAACTTCAAAGCCCTCTTGTCCTTAGAGATTTTCAACAACTCTTGACATCTCCTTTCGTAAGGGGAGAAACCAGCAAGTTCACGCACAATATCTCTGACGAATTTGGCGTGCTTCGATGCAGACTGAAACAAAAGAAACAAAGGGTCGAATAGGGAGTACAGAGTGCTCGAAAAATAAGCTGAAATACTGTTTTGTCAAAGGAGCAATGCATCCTTTTAGTTTTAGCTCACGATCAAGCTTTATCTGGTTCAAGTATGCCTATATTAGTGGATTTACTGAAATTATTAGTTATCACAACCATACCCCAGCATTAGTTACCTTAGGACATATTAACTCTGTATGCAGGAACAAATGTGCGTCCCTACTAATCATGAATGTATGGGTACAGAATGCTCTTCCTTTCCCCCATTTGTAGCATTAATTTCTTCCTCCACCAAGCCCAATACTTTTTTCCAGGTAGGTGACAAAACAATTCACAGCCCATTTTCAGGTGGTGAAAGGGAAGAGGGATCAGTTACAACGAAGTCAAAAGGAATCATCAGAGACAGAAAGAATAAATATTGAATGAGAAGAGAAGGGAGTTATGCAGGAACAGCACACTAGTAAAGAGTGAACATATAAGAAAAGGAAGGACCCCGACTGCCTTGGGAATTGCAATGATCACCAGACACATAGGCTATTTAATTGTGTTGTGGCAATCATGAGGAGTTCACACTCTATGCTTACATCCAGGAAAAAGGAAGTGGCTATTCTCACCCCGTGGGGGGTGAGAATTAAAAAATACTATCAACCTCTCACCCCCGGTGAAACTTGCCAGCTTTGGCTATTCTCACCCGGTGTGAAACAAGACCTGTTTTTCCTCATTTCTGAATACTGTCAATCGGTGTGGATGATCAAATTGATAAAAGCAAAGAAAAAAAAGGTGCTATAGCACAAACGTAAACTAATTTCGTCATCCACAAAGATGATACAGCTCACTGCCTGCACATAAAATTGCAAACTTTCAACACAAGAGTGCCGGAACATTTGTTTACAAGGGCACCACTGTGAACGCACACCGAGTGAGAATAGCCAAAAGGCTCACCCTCTCGCCCGGAGTGATCGGCCTGAGCCGATGCACTAAGCGGTGAATGCACACCAAGTGAGAATGAAGAGCTAAAAGATTTGTCCCCTCACCCGGTTGGAATAGATGTGGCCCTGGAAAAAACAAATTCACAATTGAATCAGCTACAGACTACAGCCCCATATAAACAAAGCAGATACTCACCCCCTTCTGGCGAGTAGGTCTTGTTTTTCTGCCATTTTCAAGCTTGGTAAGCTTGTGGCCTTTGTTGAGACCAACAGCAAGGTTGTAGCGGACTCCCATGCCTGCAAACATCAAAATAAAAATTTTCTTGTAAAAAGGTTGTGTCAGTAGGCCTAATTTAACTAATTACTTAAGCTGATTGATTGCACGTTTCCTGTCCATTGACATAATTTACATCATAGACCTGCTTGTGAGCCTGAACCAGATTGTCTGAAAATTTTGCTCAACCCCCCCCAATAACTTATAAGAGCTTTTAAATTTGTGGGTGTCTTAAAAATGACTTCCGAGTAACGAGCGACCACCCCAACAAATATAATAAAGAGACCTAACCCTACCCCAAAAGAGAACCTCATGCAAAAAGGCCAGCACAAGTCAAAAAAAAAACAAACTCCAAAACAAGCAAGCAGCATAATATGGCCTTCATTGCTATAAAGAGGGTTTGATACAATAACACAATAGAATTGGAATATGAATCCTCCATACTGATCTAGTTATAATTATTATAGGTCTAGAATCTAGTGATCTAAATAAATCTAGATCTAGATCAAGGAGTTTACAGTAATGGAGGATGCTCTGTGGGCGGCACCGCACGCCTGATAGGAGCCCTCTCTCGCAGCGGAACTGTGGTCTACCTGCGCTGCGCACACGCAATGGAATCTAGATAAGAAAGGTTTTATTCCGAGAGTAGGCAAGTCAATTTTAAAAAATGCCTTCCACCTGTGTTGTGTTTAAGTGTAAGAACCGATATGATGCTGCAGTGGACAGAAGTTTTCACAGGTGTTGTTTTCCTTTTTAAAAAATCTGAATGAAAGTGTTTTTATGCCCCCAGCGACACAATTTAGATCCTTAACTTTTATAAGGGGCTGGCTGTGGCACTACCTGCCAAGGCCAACCCGGGCAGAAAGGGGTACACTGTGTAACAACACCCCAGAAGAAAGACAGAGATACTTGATTTTTAAAAAAATATTCTTATTCTAGCGTGTGTGTGTGTGTTTGTGTATACATATTAAACATTTTAATTAAAGTATATATTGCTTTCCATTGTGTGTGTAAATTAGATGCTATGCGCAGCATACCTTTATTTTGACGGGACAAAATCTAGAGTCTATGTTTCTACATGTATCTTGTTTTCATTTTTCCTCTCCCCTCTCTATTTGATTTCAGACGATTGTCGGCAAACATGCAGGTCTACCTTAGTAGTTACTCCCACATTTTTAAAGATTACGCAAAAAACGCTAAACATTTAAGGGAATAAAGAAAAATGGTGTACAACGTATCAGTCAGTTGGACAAATCACAGCTCCGAAAAAATCTTCAAAGCGCACCACATCAGCCACTTTCGCAAACTTTTCGACGGCTTCTCGGATGGGTACAGAGTTGTCAAACTGTGGCGTCCATGGCCTAGAATCTAGTGGTTAGGCTCTCGGACTCGCAACCGTAAGGTCACAAATTCGAATCCCGTCAGGGGCCCAACGTTGTGTCCTTGGGAAAGGCACTTTACACGAATTTTCCTCACTTCACCCAGGTGGGAATGGCTATAGACAGCAAAAGATCTTGTCAGTTTATTAGTGTTTGAGCGCTTAATCAGCTGCTTACACTGTATGCTTCCCGGGAAGCTGAGAATGTTTCGGAGTGTTCTATGATTGTCTGCTGGGGTAATAATATAGGGAGTGTATACTGACCCGGTAACCGGGAATAAAGTCACAAAGTATACAGACCCGGTAGGGGAACTCTTTTGTGATTTCGGAAACTTTCAGCACCCTCTTGGCTCAGGGTAGAACTAGGTTCTTCTAGATCTATGGCCTAGGTCTAGATCTAGACAGACAGATATAAATCATTGATCTAGTTTCGAGGCTAGCCTAGATCTAGACTGTAGATCTAGATCTAGATTCTAGATCTAAAACTAAATGAAGATTGTGGATGTCTTTTCGATGAACGATCATTTTTCCCCTGTTTTGGAGTTAGAGGAATCACAATTTGAAGAAAAGAACAATGTCACTCTGTATCGCTCGCATTCTTTTTTTCTTTGTTTGTCTCTGTCTTTCGTTCCTTCCTGCCAACTGACAGACATTCATGTCATATTATATACATTTTGCTAGCACTTCCCCCTGCGCTCTCTCTCTCTCTCTCTCTGGTATTTTTTTACTTTCCCTCCCGTCTCACACTCAGCTACCAGTTGTCTATTTTCTACTAAATATTGATGCGCTGAACACGAATATCAACTTCATTTCCGTCGCAAATTAATGGTTTTTGAAATATTTGATTGTTTTTAACCGAGATAGACATGCTTTAGGCTTTGGACCAATCGGGGGGTTCCAGGGGGGCCAGCCCCACTGGGGTATAAGAAAATCTGGGGGGTTACAGGGGGGCGTGCCCCCCTGTTTTTACACCCATAATTTGATATTTTACAGTTAGATTTGAAATTGTCTTGAAAATAATTGATTTGCCACAGTTTTAGTGGCTTTATGTGTGATCTGCAGCAAACAGTACAGCAGTTTGACCCCTGAAACAGTGCATCTGTGTGCGGGAGTGAAGAAAGTAAAAATTTACCCTCTCTTTAACTCACACACACACACTACCGGGTCTGGGCGCTGAAACCCTCCGAAATCACAAAAGAGTTCCCCTACCGGGTCTGTATACTTTGTGACTTTGTTCCCGGTTACCGCGTCTGTATACACTTCGAATAACATAACGTAAAGCGCAGAGTATGATAGAGCCTGCTGTTGAGCGGGGATATGCGCTATGGAAGTGGCTATTCTCACCCAGGGTGAGAATAGAAATACGATCTACCTCTCACCCCGGGTGAGACTTGCCACCGTGGGCTATTCTCACCCGGTGTGAAACAAGACCTGTTTCTCCTCATTTTGGAATACTGTCTATCGGTGTGGATGACCAAATTGATAAAAGCCAAGAAAAAATAACGTTATAGCACAAAAGTAAGCTAATTTGATCGTCTTCAAAGATGCTATGGCTATTTCACTTTTCGAACCGAGCCGAACTACGCGGGTCGCCATTTTGTTTTGCCCGGAAGTTCTCGCAAGATCTTCTCCTCCCCCCACTCTCTCTCTCTCTTTCTGAATACTGTCTATCGGTGTGGACAATCAAATTGACCAAAACAAAGTGAAAAAATTGATTTTAAACAAGAAAACTAAATTAATTTGGTTGTCTACAAAGATGCTACGGGTATTTAACTTTCCAAATCGAGCCGAACTACGCGGGTCGCCATTTTGTTTTGCCCGGAAGTTCTCGCGCTACTCCCCTCTCTCTCTCTCCACTGCCCACGACAAAATTGCACGTCTTTAGGCAAACACTAACAGTAGTAATAGATCTAGATCTAGAACGTTTGTTCACAGCACAGAATTCTATATCACAGTGTAGAATTCTGTGGTTCAGGGTGAACGCTTCACTGGTTGGCCTAGGCTATACAATGAACGCCCACCGGGTGAGAATATCCAAAAGACTCGCCTGCGCTATTCTCACCCAGGGTGAGAATAGAGGTGGCCATGCGCTATACAAAGAAAGTGGCTATTCTCACATGCCCGGAAGTTCTCGCAAGATCAACTCCTCCCCTCTTCTCTCTCTGACTCTGTCTCTTTCTGAATACTGTCTACCGGTGTGGACGATCAAATTGACCAAAACAAAGTTAAAAAATGATGTTAAAACACAAAAGTAAATTCATTTGGTTGTCTACAAAGATGCTATGGCTATTTAACTTTTCGAATCGAGCCGAACTACGTGGGTCGCCATTTTGTTTTGCCCGGAAATTCTCGCGCTACTCCTCTCTCTCTTTCTCTCTCCACTGCCCACAGACAAAATTGTACGCTTTTAGTAGGCTACAACTACAGTTGTAATGGAACGTTTGTTCACTGCACAGAAATCTACAATTTTTCTGTTATCACAGTGTAGAAGAATTCTGTGGTTTAGGGTGAACGCAAAATTTGGTGAACGCGCACCGGGTGAGAATAGCCACAAGACTCGCCTGCACTATTCTCACTCCGGGTGAGAATAGAGGTGGCCTTATTATTATTACTGCGAGATTGACTTTTCTGATTGGCTGCCAAGTTCAATTCATATCCATTCACGAGAAGTAGCGTGAGAGCGAGTTGAAGACAACAACCTTTGCGTTAGTTCTTCCCGCGAAACATCCCCGCGGCGGGGGCCAAAAATCGGCAGAACAAAACGCGCTTGGTGGGCATTGCTACATTAGACGCAGTCACATGATCGGAAGGGTAGGGACTAGTCGACTTTCGACTTGTGATGTCCCAGCCCAGGGGGGCGGCCATTTTGGTGCTTTTTCGGTAGTTCCCACCAACCTGCGCTATTTGAGGGGGGCTGACTAGCAAAAAATAAAGAGGCAGAGAGGGGGGATTCAGGGAATTTAATGTTTTGCAGATAGGTTTGATATCTCTAGCTCAACGACCATCAAACATAGCCTATAATAGATCTAGATCTAAGGCTCAAATAAACGCTCATTGTTGAAATAAATTCTATAATATCTAGGAAAATAAAGAAATGTGCTCAACAGAATTTTATTTTTAGTCGTCGTCTATGAGGTAAACAGCATTTACAGGAGGTCTTGTTCAGCTGACCAAAATTTCTTCATCCAATATCAGAGATAGGCCTACTGTCACGACGAAATAATTAACACACATTGCAGAAACTTCTTACAAAATGCTATCAAGTATGAAAACAAAGACTAAAATGTTGCGACATTGTTGGATTTGACGGATTGTCACAATAAATAAAATCCGTTACCTGGTCGTTCAGAATCTAAAACTGAAAAGGGAGTTAACTTCACTTTAAAACAGAAACTTCCGGTAAAAGTAAGAAAGGCTACTCCAACATATCAAGCGAAATGCAACTACTGATTCTATCCCCTTAATCGAAAACGAAGTTATTATGTTATAATTTATAGGCCTAACCAAGTTATAGATCTAATCAAAGATTCTCTGCTACCGTTTGTGGAGAATCTTTGTTATTACCAGAGAGATAATACTTATTTATACAAAAAAATTATTTGCCTTACTATTAGTACATGTATTACACATTATGTACACTGTTGATGGTTTTCGTTACCTCGACGGACGAACAACATATTATTATTTTATACATTTCATTTCAGTTGCGAGGAGAGAGGGTCTTCCACAACTCTATTTAAAATGTCTTATCTCCCACCAATCAATTATCATGGGGTTTCTTTTGGGTTTGTTTGTTTGGTTGGTTTGTTGTTTGTTTCTTGTTTGTTTGGGGTTTGTTTTTCTTTGGGGGGGGTGCTCTCTCTCTCTCTCTCTCTCTCTCTCTCTCTCTCTCTCTCTCTCTCTCTCTCTCTCTCTCTTCCTCTAGCTCTCTTGCTCTCTCTCTCTCTCTCTCTCTCTCTTCCTCTAGCTCTCTTGCTCTCTCTCTCTCTTTCTCTCTTTCTCTCTCTCTCTCTCTCTCTCTCTCTCTCTCTCTCTCTCTCTCTATATATATATATATATATATATATATATATATATATATATATATATATATATATATATATATATCGCTCCTTTCTCTCATCTCTCCCTCCGTCTGTCCCTTTTCATCTTGATTTCTCTCTCTCCCCTCCTCCTCGCTCTCTCTCTCTCTCTCTTTCGCTCTCTATCCCTCCCCCTCCCCGTTTCTTTCTATTTTCTCCTACTCCCCTATTCCCCCCCCCTTTCTCTCTCCCCCTCTCATTCTCACTCTCTCTCTCCCTCTCTCTCTTCTCTCTCTCCCCTCTCTCTTCTCTCCCCTCTCTCTTCTCTCTCTCTATCTCTCTATCTATCTACGTATCTATCTCCCTCTTTCTCTCTCTCTCTCTCTCTCTCGCTCGCTCTCACTTGCTCTCTCTCTCTCTCTCTCTCTCTCTCTCTCTTTCTATCTCTCTCTTTCACTCTGTCTCTTTCTCTCTCTATTTATCCCTCTCTCTTTCTCTCTTTTTATCCCCCCTCTCTCTCCCCTCTCTCTATCTTTCCTCACCGCTCTCCTCTCTCCCTCTCCCTCTATCTTTCTCCCTCTATATCTCTCTCTCCCTCTTTCTTTCTCTCTCTGATACTGCTCGACCGTTGCTGGCAAAGTGTCTACGAGCATAGGCGGTATTTGTGTCCTTCGAATTCCCTTCTACTTCATGGTGCAAAGTAAAACGTAGGCTGCATAAATCGAACCTTGCTGGTCATGAGAGAGACGCTTACCCCCCCTCCTCCCCCCCCCCCCCCCCCCCCCCCCCCGTAGTGTGCAGCCATGCATGGTGATAAGTCTGGATCGGAGGTAATTGTGCCAGCATTGCAACTGTGTCTGGCTCCTTTTAGCCACACCCCTGGTCTTATGGTAGGTAAGATCTACACCTAGTCTTCTAAGATATGGGCGAAAAATTTCGAAGGTCTTGTGTGCAAGTTGCGCAGGTTAAAGATCCCTTGGTGGTCCAAAATTGATAAGAGTAGGCTTCGGCCGCCACCCGGGCAAAATTCAAAACTTCATACGAACTGAAAATGTTTGGTGTGTCTCGCTCGCTCATACCACATTGTGCAGTTGCGAGCTCAGTAAAAAAAAAAAAAAAGGAAAAAGCAGTGGCACACGGAGTAATCATTATAATTAATGACTTAGTTAATCATCAACTGAAGATCTATTTTCAACTCAATGGGGACGCACATTTTGGTCATTCGACAACACCAGGAGACATGATGATGATGTTTTGGGTCACTTAAAATAAAAAATAAGTGTACCTTCTTTGCTCACGCAAACACACACAAAGTTGATAAAGAGAAGAAAGTGAGCGGGCAAGCAAGAGAGAGAGAGAGAGAGAGAGAGAGAGAGAGAGAGAGAGAGAGAGAGAGAGAGAGAGAGAGAGAGAGAGAGAGGGAGAGAAAGAGAGAGAGAGAAATTAAATGAGAGAGAGAGTCAGAGCATTAAGAGAGAGAGCATTAAGAAAAGAGAGAGAGAGAGAGAGAGAGAGAGACAGACAGAGAGAGAGAGAGAGAGAGAGAGAGCCTTAAAGATAAGAGAGAGAGAAAGAGAGAGAGAGAGACAGACAGAAAGAGAGAGAGAGAGAGAGAGAGAGAGAGAGAGAGAGAGAGAGAGAGAGAGAGACTAAAAACTCTCAGCTCTAATGAAATTTATCGATGAAAAAAAACTTTTCAGACTCACATCATACAACACAATCATTCCCCTTGACATTGGACAGTATTAGTATTATCTGTAAATGAAACACTTATCATTCTGATTGGAAAGATTTTATTTAGCACATTTGAAAACAGCAAAAGAAAAAGTATTTTGTTATTCATGTGTAGTATAAAAGAAATCATTCCATCACAGTCCATATAAATTACTCAAAACCATTAAACAAGAACAAAAACACATATTATTACTGGAATGTTTTGAAGAAGGAGTTTCATCAATTTGTTATTTGCTCATTTCTCTAGGGGTGAAGAAGATTTAATTTTACACAAGAATGTCATATAAATTAGAGACCTGAATGTTTCAGCTGTGTTTACCTCGTTCACATTCAGGAATAATGAAAGTTAAATATGGTCTGATGCTTTTTGCATGTTCTGAGCTGCATAAAGTCATAAAAGCAGACACGACATTCAGCCATTATATTCTTAGGTTGCTAACCTAGGGTAGGACACCTGCAGGTAGCAATCTACCAGTCATGTCACAGACTGAAAAAAATGTAACTGACAAAGACAGCAGAATCGAAACAAAACAACACATTTGTTTAGTCTTTTTGCTATAGATTCAGGGCAAGCATTCACTATTCAACACAGAACTCCATTTCAGTGTGGATAGGTGTGGGTTGGGGTTTAGAGAAACAGTCTTGTACATGATCATAATGAAAACACACACACATTACATGTGGAAATGGAAAAGTGTCATCTTTAAACAAATTTTGCTGCAGTTAGATGAAAATATTTACATACATGTCATGTTCTGATAAACTCAGTTCAGCAAATACAACTTTCCTATCTCCTATGCCTATCCCTATTTCTGGTTATACAACATGCTTTTCTTCACTCTACCCTACAACACTGTACCCTGTTTTGCCAAAAAATCACTACTACAATACTGCTGTACTCTGACAAAACGCCTGTTTTTAATTCACTGCAGTTTTGAGAAATCAGCGGTTTTCGGTTTTCTCATAATATCTGTAGAGCACAGGGAATTACATTTCTCGTCAGGGTGCGAGATTAACCGTTGATGTACTGTGCAAAACAGTTTAAATATTATAAGAAAGAAAAAAAGCTGATCTCTCGAAACTGCTGTGAATACGAAAAAGGCGTTTTGTTAGAGTACGGCAGAATAATGATTTCAACAGCATGACGTAGATTATTTTCAACTTTCATATCAACTTGGAAAAACAGGTGTACAGCATTTTTACAGATGCACTTACATTTATAGACCTGAATTTAAAAAAAAAAGATTTTCAGTATTCTGAAGTCTCCGACAAAAATAATTTGCAACAGCTCTACAAAGAGGATCATAACAGTTCAATTAGTATTCCTTTTCCCTTGTTACTGTATACATTATTTTGGAAGAGCCAAAGCATGCAAAACAACTATAGTAGTCTCTGCCTAAGATCCCATCACTCACGATCCCGGTTTTCTTAAGATCCTGCTGTTTTAAGAAAACAGAATTTTCACAACACAAAATTCATCCCCAAGATCCAGCTCTGAAGGTGTGCATTTGGCTAAGATCCTGCATTTCAGATTATAATTTACAGAACAAAAACCTGAGCGGGCACAACAGATTAACCAAGAGTGAAAATTTTTTATCATTGAACTGCCTATTGTGTCACAGATCAGCCACTCTCAGGAACGTGATCACATGTCCGTTGTATATCTCGGAGAAATGGCATAATGTTTGCTCCAGAGGTGTGAACTCGTTGACGCGTCTGCTTTGCCCAAACATCGCACTCACATTTGAGCTCTCCATCTAAACTTACATCACTCACTGGGTGGGTAGGGCCTACAAGTTCGCTCTAGGTGGGATTACATCGAACTGTGAACTCTTCCATGACCATTGCAGCAGTTGTCTCTACACCCGAATTTGCGAAACTGACTGAATTTTAATTGGTGTGTTCAAAACATAACGGTGTGTACCAACGAAGTTTGGCAAATCTGTCAGAGATGAAAAGATATAAATTTTGGACAGGTAAAGGGGAGGAGCAATTGAATAAGGGTAGATGTTGAGACTCACGATAGGATAATAAGGGGAAAAGGCATGCTTCATGTCACTATGATTGGTCATCAAGGTTGATCACTCTTTGCTCACTCTAAGTCATAAACTTATCCAGGGTGAAGTCATTTCAGTTTAGAGTAAAGGGAGACCATTTTACAGGTTGTGGGCCTGAACATGGGTCCCCGTGGATTCTTCCATTGGTACGTTAGCTAAGATCCAGTTCGCTTAAGATCCTGCATTTTACTTGCTCCCAAGCACCGGAGACTGCTTTATTATTTGTAGGCTACTAATAAACTTTAAAAATCCGTGTTCTCTGTGCAAATGTTAGATTTCTACTACCTGCACTTCAGTAAAGCTACTGTGTACTCTGCTGCAATGAAAATATCTCAAGAAAACTTTCATCCCTTTCATGCTGTCCTTAAGAACATAATAGCATTGTTAGGTCAGAATATGGTACAATGAATATAGGCCTACCCGGTTTTTTTCATAGTTGAGCATATGGTACTGTACTATCTTTTTTGCTTCACAAGGTCAAATGACAAATGACACTTAACAATAAAATCTACCTTAACCCTATCCGTACGCTCTGGGGTCATGTTATACCCCCAGGATTGTATTCTTCACATTTTAGAATACTTCTAGTATGAAGATCTCTTCTAAACTTTCAGAATTTAAAAAAAAAAAAATTTTGACAGACTGTTATGCAAAGCGTACGGATCGGATTAACGAGTAAATTTCCTGTTTGGAAAGTGGTGGCACAGAGTTCCCCACGTCGTATGGATACGATATTAAAACACGACGTATGGATAGAGTTAATCTAACAGCTTTTTAAAGGAGTCAATGAATAAACAATGAGTGATAAGTTAACAGAACATATAATGCCTGCACCAATTTTTGTTCTTTATTATATTAAATAATCAGCCTCCCTCTTTATTTCATAGAAAGCGTGCATACATTTTGAAGACTTTAGCAGACTGTTTAGTACAATTTTCAAGTTAACTGAACACATCAAAGCAAATATTAATATATCTAAGAAAACTGCTTTCTTGCCTCGCTCAATAGGAAAAGAGAGAGATCTCGAGATTTCAAGATTGTTCAAACCTTTTTATATAATGGGCAACCCTTATAAAGAGTATGAAAACAATAGAATGCAATTTAGGAGGAGATTCCAATACAATGAAAAAATCCATTGGTAGAACAATTCTGAGCATGGCTTTGGTCATAATCAGCTTTCTATCAATAACAAGAACAGATGTCTAAGAAACAGAACAAAATAAAAGCTTTTTACAAAAATGTCTCTATACAAACTTTACACTGATAATGGTACACATCTAGATATTAATAGAGTTCAGCAGGACTCTTGTCGTCACATTCATCCTCTTTACAAACACTGAAGAATGATGGATCTCCTTCCATATGTTCTCCAAAAGGTCCTTGTTGCTTTCTCAACTTTTCATACATTCCCATGTCTTTAAAAACATTTTTTGAATGTTTTCTGCAATAAGTTTCAACCTCTGTAACAAAAGAAAGCAAAGAAATCAAGTGTATAATTATTAGAATGTTTGTTCCTGCTAGAGGGAAGCACATTGCCACAATAATGGTCATTTATTGTTGGAAAGAATCAGGACATACATACAGAAATAAGAAAGGGATGGTAAAGAAGTAAGGTCTACCAGTGGTGCCCTCCAAGCACAGACCTCATATAAATGTTAGTCTGAAGATGAATCATAGACAAAAAGTATAATAAGCATAGAAGGAAAAATTTCAGTTCCTTAAGTTTCAGAAGGGTGTTACAGATGACCATCTTGAAAAGAAATGACCGCAAAGTGACACATTTTTAAAGTAATCCCACAGATTCTAAGATCAAAACCTCAAGTTACCACAGCAGGAATGGAATTGAAAAAGGTCAGCCTTCTAGAGAATACCTTACCCAGTTAAAGGAGAAGGATCAAAATATTTTTTAGCTTTCTTTGAACAGCGTTATAAAGCTAGTAAATTATGCTAATTTCCCGCCAAAACGCATATTATTTGTGTCATAACAGATGACAACAAAACAGCCAACATAAACTTACCTTGCAATACGAACCCAGAGTCTGAAATGGTCTTCCCTTTTTTCCATAGTTGGTACAATCGCAGAAACAGTGCAGCGTGTACATCATTCATTGTGCTGATAACATTTTTGCGTCGATTACACTCCCTGGTTCACAAGAAAGAAAGAAGTTTGGTAAATTTTTACTTTTTACCCCCACATGCAGATGCATTGCTTCTGGGTACTAAACCGCTGAACACACAGATGACCACTAAAACTGTAGCAAATCGATTGTTTTTTTTTAAATCTCAAATCTAATCACAAAACATCAAATGTGAGGCATCATGGTGAAATCAGGTGCTCGTCAAAATACTGAAATCAAAGTAATCAACATTTTTCCACCCATTTGGTAATTGTTATAGATTATTTTGTTTTAGGCTCAACACCTTTGATGTCCACTTCATAACACATTTCTGCATGGATTTTACTGCTGTTGATCAAAGGCACAAAAAATGTAAACTTGCAGTTTCCAGCCGTGACACAAATTAAAGGGAAATACAGTAAGGATGGGCAGGTACCGGTGCCCAGTACCGGAACTCCCGGCTCTACCGAAGGAGGTGTCAGTACCTGCACCAGACCTCCAGTACCGGCTCTGGGAAGAAGCCGACACCAACAGTTAGTACCGGCTCTGGAAAGGAGCCAACACCTAGACACTCAGAGAGAACGTATAGGCTAGGCTGACACCCTGGCCATGGGAAGTGTGCTGTGTGTAGGCCTAGGCCTTGGCCTAGCAGCTGTGACGTCAGATGCACACAACGCAGCGGGTAACCTTGATACATGACTTCAGATTCAAAATTGACAATCAAAAGCAAAGTTTGCTTATTGAATTTAAATATGGCATCAAATCAGGTTCCACACGAGCCTCTTTGCCTATTTTGACACGCTGATTCCGAAAATGAAATCAGTTTTTAGCGGCGATAATTATTTTTAAAACAGTCTTATCCTGCACGGCCGCAAACTTCAAAGGTATTTTGCGTCACAGTACGCCTCTCCAATTTTGACTTGTGTGTGTTGGG